ACTTGCGCTTCACGGCGAGAAGCAGGCGACATCAAGGGGCTGCAATAGGTGAGACGAGTGCGCAGGCATGCAGAGAAGAATGATATTCTTCTCCTTGCAAAGATCTTGAAAATCAACGGAGCAGTGGCTCTCATGGCCGTCGATAATGAGCAGTCGATACCCACCCACAGTCTGCCTCTTTATATAGGTATCAAAGTGCTCTAACCACGCAAGAGCAAGCTGATTATTCGTCCAGCCATTAGGACTAACTTCAAGAACCTAGTCAGTAGGCAGGTCTTTAAACCAGACGTTGATAAGCACCTTGCCCGCAAAGATAACGAAGGGGGGTAGCCGGCGACCTAACGCGCCCACGCCTTGGATCACAGTAACCCACTTATGGTTACCTAGCTAGATCCGCTTCTTTTTGCTATATCCCTCTGAGCCTGTGATAACTAACTGTAATAAAATCTTGCCTATTATAAAGCTAGTTTCGTCAAAGTTGTAGATATCGTCGTCTACAATACCCTACTTCTGCTTTGTCGCCTGAACTAAGTCGAACTAGCGCTAGATAGCCGCTAGGTCCTCGTAGGTAGCTCGCTGGTGATTGTAGGGACGGCTCTAGCGCGTGCGGAGCTTAGGAGTCCTCTTAACAAAGTTATTAATCTAGTTCTTGCTAATAGGGTTGCTCCCACGCTTATGTAGTAGTTTATTAGCTATTGCTTGAACGTTAGGCTTTGTAGGCGCAAATCCTCGCGCAGACTCCTTAAGAATACGCTTAACTATAGCCTCCTCTTCTAGCTTATTTAGGCGCTTCGAATTCGCTTCGCAGTCGCGTTGAGAGCGCTTTCTAGCGCGTTGGTCAGATAGGGTTCTTTAAGGCACGTTATAGATAGAGGCAGCACGTCTTTAGCTTTAAACACGTTGCGATTGGATATTAAAAAGAGCAAGCTAAAGATCTAATTCAGGATAGGCTAATAAATGTTGACGTTGTTGAGACATGACGTGTTGCAGTCTCGACGTCGACGCGCTGGTGGGGCGTGAGCGACTCGCTTGGGTGAGCGACTCGCTTGTGAACCACGTCATACTACAAGTAATATTCATGACAATCGTTTATTAAAACACATACTGATATGCGTGGGTACAGCTGCTCAAACAAAAGGACTCGTGACTTTTGTACTCTGGGTATCACTTTTGCAGTCCTCGGATAAAGTCACAATCTGTGTGTTCACTGTAATGGCTCTACCGGGAACCACTACTTCTGCGCTTTGGAGGCTTTCGTCGGAGACGAGCGAGTCTTCGGATCCGGTGGCATGGTGACGAGACTGCAGTTTGACGGCGCTCGACGACGCGGTATGGTTGGCGTTACGCATATTCGAGGCGTTGTTGGTCGTGCCGTCGCCCTGAGCTCGAGGCTGGGATAATTCGTATTGCCGGTCATAGCTAGCGGAATTGGAGCTTTTCGCGCCTCTGCCGAGCAGCAGCGACCGCACGGCTGGGAGACAGACGGTAATGAGGGCGACGGAGGCTTCGATTCCGGATACGGTAGCAGTAAGCAGAGGGTGTTCGCGTTTGGCAAAGTATGCTCGTATGCCTGGTACTGTTAGTTTCGGTCGAGTGGAAGACAGAGGTACGGGTAGAGGTGGTCCTACAGCTAGCAATTACTACAATGAAACCCAGGGCAAACATGGCGATAACAGCAAGCTTATCCCTGAGTGACATTTGGAGCCGCGATACCATGGTGATGGGAAGGCAAATGATGACGAGGTCAGAGATAATGTTGACTGTTGCGGTTAGCGCAGGGCCAAAATCGAGCGTGGAATGATACCATGGCGGCGAGGGGATGTTATGTGGCGTTGACGACTTACAGAGACTGAGAAGCCAGAAGTTTACGTCCTCGGCTTGCTGGTCACATCTCTCTATGCAGAATCAGCGAATATTCCTGACGTGGTAGGCATGGGGATTCGGCTTACTGTTCGGATCGAGGTTCCATCGCCTGCTCTGCGGGTAACAATGGAACATGATGTGGAAGAATAGGATGATGTAGGTGATGGCCAGGCCAACCAGCGCAGCGTTATAGACAATGACCATATGTGATCCTGGGGCGGCAAGGGCTCTGTAGAAGAAAACAAGAGCAAACTTGATGCACCAGAGAGTGGTGACGTATATGGTTGTTCCAGGGACGATTGCTTTCATGATGGCCTCCAATTGAGCTGCTGTCAACTTGGACAAGTCACCACCCAAGCCATTGTCCCACATGATCTGCGGGGGGACAAGGCCTGCACAGAAGCACGCCAGCGCGAGGAGCACAAAGTAGTCATCGATGGACAGTTTGCCGATCCTGTGCCATCGAAACCACACGCGCATGGCGACAAATGGTATTGTGATTGCTGTAGAAAGATACCATGAAATCTATGGAGCAGTGAACATTGTACGTGAATGCCTTTGGAGTCCGACTACGTACCCTGAAGGCCTCTGTGCCCATGGTGTGCAGTGCACGGATTTGGAGAGTAGGATGCCCTGATGCAGAAAAGCAATACCACCACTTTCTGTTCTGCTTTGGAAGAGAATAGGATGATAAATGACAATGCTAAAGGTACAGTGGCGAGGCGAGGACTGGTGACGATGGCCAGCCGTCACTGCGGCCAAGGTCAATGTGTTGTGGTATATCTATTCAAGCTTCTGCATAGTGCAGAAGGTTGACCTTTTGCACCACACAATGTATACACATGGTGATCCTGTTCGGCTCACACAAAGCGGTCCCAGGCGCAAGGATGGAGGATCGGAGCTGTCAAAGGGTACCGGCGTTCTGACTCAACCGCCACAGGTACAGGCCATGAGATTCCCATAAAGCATGGGCGGAGCTGCCAATCACCCGCATCCTCTAGCCGTTGCCTGCATGGAACATGGCGAACCCCGCAGAGAACGGGCCCCTGGGCAGGGATCGAGGGAGGCTTTGGTTTTTTGCTTTTTCTTCCCCGTGGACCCATTATACCCAGGATCGACCGTGTCTGGCTGCTAGTTGGTGCGGCGGATGGGATGCCGGGAGCCGGCCATGACGATGCACGGCAGGAAGCGAATACGGGCTGAAGTGCCGCGAGCGCGAGAGTCAAGCAACGGGTTTGGATTGGGACTAATCATGCAAGGGACAAGGTGCCATGGTGGTGGTGGTGGTAGTGGTAGTGGTAGTGGTGTTGGTGTTTCTGGGGGGGCTGAGGAGAGCAGTGCAGATACGCGAAGGAGGCGCTTGGACTCGCCTCGCCGCGACCCACAGTGGAACTGCACAACGGAGATGAGGATACGGTTCCTCCATGCCAGCTCCATCCCACTCCCACTCCCACTCTCGCCTCGTCTGGCCCACACACACACGCGCGCGCGCGCTGGGCCCCCCATTGGCGGCCAAAAATCCTCCTTTGCTGCTGTGGGCCGCCCTCCTGCGCTGTTATATAGCCATGTGGCACCCCAGGTTTGATCTGCATCCCTCCGCCAAACTCTATCCGCCCTGCATTGCATCATGCGGTTTGCGCCCACTGGCTTACGAAGCCTCTCACTAGCCGCTGTTCTCACACAAGCGGCTGTAGCAGCTGCAAACCCCCTACAGCACAAGGCCGCAAAGGCACCCGTGGTCAACGGCACTGCGCCACTGCACCAGGGCACCGTCCACGGCTTCGTCGACGCCTATGGAAACTCGGTCTTTCTGGGAATCCCGTTTGCCGCCACCACGGGGGGAGAGAACCGGTACGCTTGCGGTGGAAATTGCATGTCTTTGCGATGCTTTGGCTGACACGCGCCCTGACAGGTGGCAGCCGCCTAAAGATGCTAACAAGCTGAAGAAGGGCCATGTCCTGGACGCCGCCCACTACGGCCCAACTTGCCCGCAGGCCATGGCCAATCCAGACTACGCTCCTCAAGGCGAGGACTGTCTGAACCTCAACATCTGGGTGCCTCCTCCAAGAGTCCAATCACAAGGTTCGCCTCCGTGTCCCGTGCACCCATGATGCCGTCCTAACCATTCAGCTCCAGAGAACGCTGGCCTTCCCGTCTTCGTGTACATGTATGGAGGCGCCATGGTGACGGGCTCGAGCAGCGACCCCCGCTACATAGGCACCAACTTTGCCAGCTCGGGCGTCGTCTTCGTCAGCTTCAACACGCGCGAGAGCACTTATGCCTACCCCAACTCAGCCGAGCTACGGGATACGAAGTCGAATGAGTCGCAAAACTTTGGCATCCTCGACGTCGACAAGGCCCTGCAGTGGGTGCGTGACAACATTGCCCAGTTCGGAGGCGATCCTGACCATGTCGTCTTTGGAGGCCACTCGTCTGGCTCCGTCATGGTCGATTACTACCTGTGGAACCACCCGGATACCTGGCTCGCGGGAGCGGTTCAGATGGCCGCCAACGCCAAGAGCGGCCCAGCTTATGCTCCTACCAATCAAGTCCTGGACATTGTTGCTCAGGAGGTCCAGTGCCCGACGGGCAAAGGCCAGCTCGACTGCCTCCGCAAAGTGGACATGTATGCCTTACAGACGGCATCCTTCAACGCCAGCCTCAACACATATTTTACCCCTGTCGTGGACAACATTACTCGCTTCCAAGACTTGGAGGCGCGCTTCGCCGCTGGCAAGTATGCCTCGCACGTTCCTCTTCTAACTGGCAACTCCAACCATGAGGGTTCCGTATTCGGTTTCGTATACGGCTCGGAGAACACAAACTTCAGTCAGTGGATCAGGACGTTTGACGCCGACATTGCAGAAGTCCCATACAGCCTCGTCGAGTCCGCCTACAACATGTCCGACTACGCCAGCGTCTCCGCCATGAGCGGTGCCCAGTACGGCGACGCGCGCTTCTTCTGCCCTGTCGACCATCTGCTTGACCTGCGCAGCGAGAAGCAGGACACATGGATCTACCGCTTCATGGCCGAGTACTCCAACACGATTCCTCTCCCCGCACAGGTACCCACCCACGGCGGCGAGATCCCCTTTTACTTTGGCGGCAAGGATGTCTTTTCGCGCGCGGGCGTCGTCAATGTCACCGCCGAGGAACAGGACCTCGCCGACTACCAGCACGCATGGTTTGTCAAGTGGATCAAGAACCCAAAGGCAAGTCCCGGATGGGCCAAGGCCACGCCCAAGACCGGTTCCCTTGGACTACTCGGCATGCGGGGAAACGAGCTCCAGATTGAGCATGGCTCCACGGCCGACTACAACGCAAGGTGTCAGGCCATATACAACCCGTATTTGCCCCTGTACCCTGTTGTACAGAGCATCCATGCAGGCGGTGCACAGTAATGGAAGCGTCATGATTGTGATACATGTATCAAACGCATTATAGCTAATATTGATGTAGTCACTGGACGTATTCATGTGTATATATATATATATCTGACGATAACATAAGCACCTTGCATATTGTGTAGTCTCTGTATATAAGAAAAAGAAGATGATACAGTAACATGCCATTCCTCAAATGTAAGCAGCCACGCCAGGCTGCCGAAGGAAAGTTGCTCAGGGTTGCAACAAGCCCGAAGAAGATGCGCGTCGCGGCCTTTTTGTTCTAGTGCGACGATAGCGTATGAAATCAGCTTTAGGTTAGCCATCTCGGCCATGTGCCACGCAACGCGCAATGTAATATGCAAGGCGCAGTTGACATATCCGTCAGGCTAATCACTACCTGCTTGACACTGCCTCTGCGGCCTGCGCTTACCGCGGTAGGGTAGTCTTCTTTGAGTAGCAGAACCAACACCAGCACTTGGCACCCTACACCAACACCTCACCCCACCAAACGACCTCGGCTCCAAGCAATTCCTCTTCTAAAAAAGCTTACCCTCCAAGAACTCAATGCGCACATGATATCCCAAAGCATCCAAAAAGGCTTGTTTTACGAAGCGTTGCGTCCATTTCTATACTACGCCAGGCCTGAAAAAGATTTGATAAAATATTGGCAGCAGAAGAAGCACCACCAGGCCATGGAACCCCGATCTAGCAAGCTCTCTCCAGCTAGAAGTTGAGTCTAAAATAAGGGGCTGTGTGCGTAGTGGTATGGGTAATGAAGGGGCTGATTCTACGGGGTTTTCAAGTCGTATACAGATGCATACATGCTTAGTACAAATTCACTTGGACAGATTGATTATTAGCAGAGACATACATGTACAAGACATGTACATGGCATTACGTCGACACCAATACTGACAACACTTACTTACACCGAACACCGACAATAGGCTAGCTAATTAGGTCCACGTGCTCCATGTTTGCATATGCACAACGGTCTTGTTATTCTGGCACTGCTGTTGCTAGAATAGATGAGACAAAACCAGAAAGATGAGATAGACTAAAAAGAGGGGGACAGGGAGGATGCGTCGTGTTAAAACACAACATTCGTAATCTGGCGTCTTTCCTTTTTTTTCGTATTGCATTGCACTTACTTTGAGCCTGAGCGTAAGTGTGAGTGGGCCAGCCAACGGTCTTTGTGTTTATAGCTGGACGTGCGCGGTTTAATACTCGTGCTTCTTTGCTTCTTTTGTTTTGATGTTTGATTTTGCTGCATCCACGTTACTATTAGGTCAAGCAAGGAGAGAGTGACCCCTCCCGCACACACACACACAACCCCATGACATGACATGACATGACATGGCACACCCCCGTCCATCCATCCGTTCGTTAGCGCATCTAGAAGGCAGATCTACGATTTCCCTAGCCCCCCGTTCCAAGACACTTCTGACATGTTCCGCTGCTGCTGTCTTGGGGGGCGGGTGTGGGGTTGTCTCAGGGCTGCAAGTCTATCTTTTCCTCTCTTACTCTCTCGTAAGTACTTTCTTTCTTTGCGCCACGCGGAAGGATGACTATTTTCTTTTTTTTCGTACTTATATTGCGGACTTTTTTGATTGCGCTCGCGCCCTGAAGGAAATAATATAGACCCGCACCTTTTTATACAATACCCCGTCCGCTCTGCCCTCAGGCCGCCCGCAGCAGCATACCCACCATTTCTTGGCGGGACCCGCGTTCGAAAAGCACAGTGCTTGTCGTCTCGTAACTAATTAGCCAAGCATCGAGGTAATTGGACACCTGTGCATGGCCCGCCGCGTAGTTGACTGCGCCCCTTTTTGCAGGTCCCATGGGAGGATCGACTTTGGGCCCCATACTCTACGCGTAGCAGGCCAAGTGCTTCTTATGCCACCAGTATCACCATGTGTATGCCTTGTGCAGGGCCGTGTACAACTCCGCCCCTCTGCCAGGCCAGCAGAGAAGCCACTGCGAGGCCACATGCGCAATTCCACGACCTCATACATTGCCCCCCTCACCCAATCCTTCGAGGCTGATGTGCGCATATGTCTGCTTGTTTGGGCTCAGCCCGGCCCGAGTCCGTGTGGTGAATGGCTAACACGCCTTCGCTAGCAGAGCCTCCACCACCCTGCTCCAAACCTTTAGACGATGCCTTTTTCCCTCAAGATTCGCACTTCTGCCCCTCCCAGACAGACAGCATTGCCATCTGCTGGGATGCAACCGCTGCAACTCCGGGCCGCCAAACGCATTGGCAGACCCACGTCGGACCCGCGTCGTCAGTCACGCGTACTGGCATCCACCTGCTATTCTCTACAAAGCCTGACGCCTGGCCCACAACTCCATCAGGCACCCAACCGAGGGTTTGGAAAAAGTCGCCGGCCACCTCAACTGCTGTCCAACCCGCACACCATCTTTCCTTCTTCCGTCCACAAGCCTCTCTTTGCACCACAGCACTATGCCCGCAACTGATGGCCCCGAACGCATCGATCCAGACGACATATTGAACTGCCAACGACGATCCGTATACGAGCAAATCCAGGACCACAAATCACTGCTCTGGCTGCCATGTGCTACCACGTCCCTGTTGACTACAAGACACCTTCTCGTCGAAAGCAATCTGCACTACCCCCTGCAACTGTATAGCTGGCAGATTTCAGCCACCGCCTTCCTCGCCTTAATCTCACATGTATGGCGGCGGTATGAGCAAAACAGTGCCGAGCAAGAGCACCTGGAGAACCGACCAGTCCAAGCTACGCTCTTGGTGGCCGCTTCACATTGTCTGCAAGCAATAGCAGCACTATGTATAACACAGGCCGTACTGCACACTTCGAATCTGCCCCTGCTGTACATGGTAGCGGTGAGTTTGTCCGATGTTGACACACGTGTGGTATTGATGTACTGATCCAATTAGACAATTGCCTTCTTCGCTGAAGGTCTCATACTGCACGTGTTTGCTTACACGCCTCGCTCAAGCACGGACCTTCTGCGTCTGGGTCTGCTCTTGCTGTCTTGCGCTGGAATCTTGTTCATGGAATATCGACTTCAGGTGCCGAGCTTGGTCACATCCATTCTGGCCGTGCTCTTGCTTGGACTGGCGAGCGCTCTAAAGAAGTTGGCTGCAAACTATTATCCAGGAGAGGCACCGACGCAAAGCACGGATGTGATTTGGCTTGTTGCTATGGGCGCCCTAGTCGCGGCGTTCTGCGCAACTAGCGATTGGCCCGAGGAACAGGGAAACCCATTTGACAGCGAAAGAATGTCGTTGCGTGCTTTGAACGCCTTCTCAACCGGAGCGGCGTTTTTGCTGGGAGGCTCAGTGCTGTTTCCCGTGGAGACTTGCCCAGCGTCCCAAGATGCAGCGTCCCAACGCATACGCGATGCATTGACGCAGCTGGCCATGACAGCCATCGTTGGCTGTTTTACTACGCTTTCGCTTCGTCGGTCCTATTCGAGCTTGTACCAGTTGTGTTTTTACTTGTTCGCAATCCTGTGCGTTTGTGGCGATGAGATTTATGGTGCGAGCTGGAAACAAGCAAGGCACCCGAAAGATCCCTACGCCAGCTACGATTTGGTTCTCTGTCAGCACATAACTGTATCAGACGACAGCGAAGAGGCTGGAATGGCTGCGATGCCAACGAGTTGCCCGGATTCTCATAGCCGTGGTCTTCGCTCGTCTTTCAGCAGCGTGATTCTGGTCATGCTATGGACAGCGTACGTAAGCTTCAACTTTGGACAACGCCAATACCCGCGCATTGAGCCTCAGCTGGATCTGGGCTACGAAGCGAATGGTCCTCTGGAAATTGTCATTAGCATGTACAAAGAGCGGACATCTGACGTGGCCTCGCTTATATCGAGGCTACAAAGCATGCCAGACATGTCGCAGGCACTTGTGACAATCTATCTCAAGGATAGCGAGGCAGACGAAGAGCGAGTCAAGCAAGAGACGGCCGCACACAACGTCATCAAGCTCCCAAACGTGGGGAGAGAGGCCGAGACATACCTCAACCATATCCTCACCCGCTGGGACAACCTTGCCGAGCGCACCGTTTTCCTTCAAGCCGACGTGCACAACCCACGCGAGTTTTATCCGTTCTTCGAACGCTATTTCCGCGCAAACCAAACCGGCTTCCTTAATCTCGGCTGGGTAGGTAATGTTTGTAATAGCGATGAGTGCGGCGATAAACATGGCTGGCAGGATGAGACAGAGCTGTTTCCGGAAATTCAATCACGCATCGACCACTCGGTGCGCGATGGTGTCCTGCTGAGCTACAAGGGCCAGTTCATTGCTACCGCCGCGCGCATTCGCGGCATCGACAAAGCAATATATGCCGATCTCTGGAAGCTTTTGGTCGACGAAAACAGCTGGGCGCACAACGAGCCCTATCTGCAGGGCCGCGAAGATTCCATGAGCCAGCCGTGGTTCGGATATACAATGGAGAGAATATGGAATGTGCTGTTCCAATGCTCAGACATGGACGTCGCATGGAAATGCCCTACACTCCTGAGTGGATGGAGACGCGGTGGCACCATCGCTGACTGCCAGTGTTTCGACACAGAGTGGATGGAGTAGGAGGACGGGCCTGAATCGCGCCATGAGCCTTTTGTCTTATTTGCTGTGATACCCCCCTAGACCATGAGCGACGTAAAAGCATCTTTTTGCTGTTGTTATTGTTTGTTTGTTTGTTTTTTGTTTTCCTCTTGGGGCCTCGCTCCTTGTATACGGGTAATTTTAGCAGGCCACGCACTCGTTGCAATATTACGACCTATTTTTAATTGGCATAGAGTTCGGAACGGCTTGTTTTTTCTGGCGCTCCGTACGCCGCGCACTCGCCCAACGGTGCTTTAATTTATGATTGCCATTTCTTCGGCTTGCGAGGACGGGCGCCGGGGCGGGAGGGCCATCGGGTGCGGGGACCGTGTGCAGCGAACTAGAAGGCGCCATGGTTTTTCCGACGTGTTTGAGAATGTGAAACTGGGAGGATTGGAGGAGGAGGGGGAGGGGGAGGGGGGCGCTGCTGAAGCGCCAAGGTGAAACGTGTTACAGCCAGCGAGGCGGCTACAGGAGTGCGGTTGGGGTTGGGGGCACGTGACGCGCTATTCCCTCTTTGCAAGGCTGCACGGGTGCTGCGACGGGTCCCTGCGGCAGGCACAATGTCAGCAGAGGCACCATCCATGGATGACTCGCCCCTATCGCAAAGCAATGGCGTCGCAGATGGTCCCCTTTTGCGCCAAACATCCTGCAGTATACCCGCAGTATCAGCGCGAAGGAGTTTGTCAATGCCACTTTAATCCAGCCTGCAAGTCCTGAGTTCTGGCCGTGTGCGTGTGTGTGTGCCCAGCCACGACGCCGACGACGACGCCCACGAAGACGACGACGACGACAACTGGTCACTGCTCACATACACTCTCTCGTCTGTCCTTTTTTGATTTTAGTGGGCAGTGAGCCAGCCTCAATAATATCTATCTATAGCACGCTTACTCGGGCTCCTGGCGGCCAACGTTTCCCTTTTTCTTTGAGACCAACCCTGCACATAACACGACACATGGCCACCGTCGAGCAGCGAGCGAGCAACAAGCTCTCAATGGGGTCCAACAGGAGCTCAGATGGACTGTACAAGCATCGCCAAAGTATGCTGTACCGCGAACTCGAGATCCTGCTCGAACTCACACCTAGCACCTTTAGCTCTCCTCTGCTGGCGCTTCCCCGCGAAATCAGAGACCAGATCTTCGACCATGTGCTGCCAGATACCTCCGACAGCCGCCCCGAGTTGCACACGTGCCTATGGAGTGCAGAAATGTCAAACGGCGAGCCCTGGCGACACGATATTTTCGGCTATGGACCCGCGGTAGCCAGACCAGCGCGCCTTCGCCCGGAGCTGCTGCTCATCAACAAGCAAATCCGCGAAGAGCTGCTGCAAAACTACTTCCGCCGCAGCAAAGTCAAGCTCCACGCCGAGCTGCGCAATACCCGCACCAACAATGACTATTTCGAGTTCTCGCAGCACATTTTGAAACTGCCCATGTTGGCGCATACAACGCACATTCGCTTCTATCTCGAGTGGAACTACACGACGCTGCGCAACGGGAGCCGAGATAGGATGCTCAAGGACCAGACGCGCATGACGTATAATCTGCTAGCCGCCATTGACAAGATTGTCCAGCCCCTGCAGAGCGTCGAGACGATTGAGCTGTCGGTCCTCTTCTTCTGGAAATACCGGAGCGGCAAAATGTACAGCCTGTCCATGCAGGATCTCTTCGACCTCGAAGGCATCTTCAAGCGCTGTGCCGAACTCCGCTGGCTGGGCCTCCTGGGCGAAAACGACCTCCCTGGCAAAGTCAAGCACACGACGTCAACGTACCTCAGTCCCTCTGCCACAACAACACCAAGCTCGTCGGCGGGCGTGGGTTATAAAATGTCCACGGAGCGCAAGGGCACCGAACAGAGCGGCGGTATGGAGATATGTATCAGCCGCGACCTGGAGGATGCCATGGAGGAGAGGCGGAAGAGCAGTTTTGATTTCTTCGGCAACTATGAAATCGGTGAGCCGTTGCCGCAGCCCGCTTACCAACACGGGGCCATGATATGATCTAAGGGGGGAAGAGAATGACTCGTTCGGTCGGTGAGTCGGTCAGAGACAGCATCTATTGGTTTTCTTGTTCTCTCTCTGTGCAAGCCCTCCAAAAAAAAACAAGTGTCTACTTAGTTGAGTTACATGTGCGGAAAAAAACAAGAACCCATGGCGCAATTTTGCTATTTCTTCACACATACATTCAAGAAGGTTTTCTGTAATGCATAATGTAGCGTATACAGACGTATACCTACCATAGCAGTAGTATATATATATATATAACGTGGTTCACAAGCGAGTCGCTCACCCAAGCGAGTCGCTCACGCCCCACCAGCGCGTCGACGTCGAGACTGCAACACGTCATGTCTCAACAACGTCAACATTTATTAGCCTATCCTGAATTAGATCTTTAGCTTGCTCTTTTTAATATCCAATCGCAACGTGTTTAAAGCTAAAGACGTGCTGCCTCTATCTATAACGTGCCTCAAAGAACCCTATCTGACCAACGCGCTAGAAAGCGCTCTCAACGCGACTGCGAAGCGAATTCGAAGCGCCTAAATAAGCTAGAAGAGGAGGCTATAGTTAAGCGTATTCTTAAGGAGTCTGCGCGAGGATTTGCGCCTACAAAGCCTAACGTTCAAGCAATAGCTAATAAACTACTACATAAGCGTGGGAGCAACCCTATTAGCAAGAACTAGATTAATAACTTTGTTAAGAGGACTCCTAAGCTCCGCACGCGCTAGAGCCGTCCCTACAATCACCAGCGAGCTACCTACGAGGACCTAGCGGCTATCCAGCGCTAGTTCGACTTAGTTCAGGCGACAAAGCAGAAGTAGGGTATTGTGGACGACGATATCTACAACTTTGACGAAACTAGCTTTATAATAGGCAAGATTTTATTATAGTTAGTTATCACAGGCTTAGAGGGATATAGCAAAAAGAAGCGGATCTAGCTAGGTAACCATAAGTGGGTTACTGTGATCCAAGGCGTGGGCGCGTTAGGTCGCCGGCTACCCCCCTTCGTTATCTTTGCGGGCAAGGTGCTTATCAACGTCTGGTTTAAAGACCTGCCTACTGACTAGGTTCTTGAAGTTAGTCCTAATGGCTGGACGAATAATCAGCTTGCTCTTGCGTGGTTAGAGCACTTTGATACCTATATAAAGAGGCAGACTGTGGGTGGGTATCGACTGCTCATTATCGACGGCCATGAGAGCCACTGCTCCGTTGATTTTCAAGATCTTTGCAAGGAGAAGAATATCATTCTTCTCTGCATGCCTGCGCACTCGTCTCACCTATTGCAGCCCCTTGATGTCGCCTGCTTCTCGCCGTTGAAGCGCAAGTATGGCGACTCGATCTCAGGCTTGGCACGCAACCGCACCAGCTA